ATTTATTTAAAAACATAATATAATTAAGCTACAATTCGCAAAAAGCCGTGCCCGGATACTTTCTTCAGGGGAGTGTACATGTGGTTTGTGGATCTCTTGTGATTAACAGGGATTAGCCGGAATGATGTATAACATAAAAATTTGTATCACCCTAACTCACAGACAGTTCCTGGCACTTTCTCGCAATCTTTCCGCAACTCAAGTCATGAGGATCGGCCAATCAGATTTCAGATTTTTTCTTTAGCCAGATAGCCTTTGATTTAATAGAATTCGGGAAAATGATTAAAATGCACGTACAAAAAAATATTATAGTAGAGTTTGGACAAGCTTGTCCGAACTCGTCAAACCTTATATGTTAAAATTTCAGCCATTACATATTTGATTTCATCTGCAGTTAGATTTAAGATGAATGATGGGGAATAGATTTAATTCAAGCTACTATGCTATTAAAAAGTTGCGACTATTACATTACATGATACTACCCAGGGAGTATGTGAATAAATTTTACCTTAAAATATTGCCTATAACAGTTTCTGAATCAAGATTCATTTGTGACCTGAAGTTGGACTTGGTCTGTCACATTCAATGCTTCAAAAATAGCAAAATAAGGAAAAGCAATAGCATAATTGGAATTTTCTGTTATCCATACCGCATGAAGGATACCAAGAGCCTTTCCTTCTTTATTTACAATACTTGCTTTCGAGTCTCTAGATACAAAGTCTCCAGGTCTAAATGCAAATATTAATTGTCGATCAAACCATACAGTAGGATAACATTGCTGACGCATTTTATTGATTTCTTTGACCAAAGGCGTCTTCATATAACTAATGAATAATTTTTTGTCCACGTCATTACTATAAAAAGGAATTTCTCCTTACTTTTTTGCATATTTAATGCTTTTATCTCTTAGATCAATGGAAACAGAAGAATAAGTAGAGACCATTTTTCCAGTAGTAAGACCTGTAACCTTTCCTACTTTAAAGACATTGATTTCATCCAAATTGACAAATTCTTCATAGGAATAAAAACCATTTTGGCGAGTGTCTTCAGAAAGGTTTGTTTTTTTGAAGTCATCTGGAGGAATTGAAAATTTGTTTGACCATAATTTACGATCGTTGTTATTGAAAATACAAAATGCAGCATCGACGCCAAAGTACTTTTTATATATTTCAGAGAGAAAGTTGTCTCGCATACCAAATGCATAACGCATTAGAGCTGAATTCTGTTTATTCTTTTTGATCTCATTACACATTTCTTCTAAAATTTTTATGTAACTTTTATTTTCACTTGCCATTCTAACAAATGATTCTTTCAAACTATCTAGATCATTATGGGAGGGCTGATAAATCGTAACACCCGTTTCAGGCATCGAATTGTTAAATCTACATACATGTTCACATGATAAGATGCTAATCTATTTTGAGTTCTTATCGTATATGACAGCACTGAAAGTTCCAGATATTCTGTGAGGTTGAATTATTTCTATACTCGACCTAACTTAACTTCCTCCTGAAAAGATTGATAATTAATTGCACTAAAACCACAGGGAGTTGCAATGCAAGCCTTGACAACATCTGTTAGATACTCATGAATCTCATCCGGGAATTTGACACACCCACGGCGCAGAATGCTCTTCTGGCGAACATATAATATAATAGCGGGGATTTCAGTAAATTTGCCTTGGGTTCGCTTATAACCGGTGCTCATGCCGACCAAATTATAATGTGTTTCACAGAACGATGGCCCCAGTTTATTGTCTAATGCTTCATTAAAAGACTTTTGCAAATCCTTTGAGACCTTCTTCCAAGTTGGTAGCGGATCATGGGGATTTTGTGATAGAATTTCAGCATTGACAAACCCTTCTTCTTCTGGTATGAAACGAATTATTTGATCTCTGATTTTCTCTATCTTTTTGTGACGAAAGAGATTGCGAGTAACCACGCAAACACACCAAGTTTCATCATCATCTTCGAAGGTTCAACCCCAGAATATATCCACAATTTTGTCCCTCGCATAAAGTTGACAGAGATAACTCTCGAGACTATTATTCTAAGGAACTGTTTCAATGGTAGTACATGTCATTGGAAATTCAATGACCTCTTCTTCAAAGATTACATCATCGTCTACTGACAAAATTTAATTTGAGCATAAAAATAAGACTTATTTCAATTAAAAAATTATCAATGTGAAGAGATTACCTTCATCGTAGTTACAAAAAATCATCTTATAAATTTTTTCGCAAACTTCTAAATAAGTCATACCATTAATTATTAGTTCATGAAAATGATAAGATTTAAGTTGTTCATCCAGTTTTTTTCTCGCTGTTTGTATAAACTTTGTAAATGTACTAAATTGTCTATCTCCGCAATAAAGACAACATCCACGCAAAGTTGCTTTATAATAAAAATCTTTCCTAGATATTCTACAATATCTCCTTTCTTCAAAAGTCCCATCTTGTATATTTGGTCAAACGTAATATGCAGCGTAGGTAGTTTGGTAATGATATGAATATACTCATCAAGCGGTTTTTCAGAAAAATAACTACTAACTTTCCTCGTTAGAAGAAGTTGCTCCTCTTTATAGAGTATAAGTTTAGTTAGCTCTTTATCACTATCACCTTGAATTTGTATCTTCCATAACTGAATCCGATTTGCAGCGAAGAAATTAGACTCAGATGTTTTTTTCACCTTAATAACTTCCTTGAGTTGACCAATACTCTCATTTTGATCGATTTTTAATGGAAAGGCTTGAGCAACTGTGTTTTCTTGAATCAGACAGAAAAGTTCGATAGTATCAGTAGACATTTTCATTCGTATCAAGAAAAAATGTAGTACAAATAGTCTATATAAGACAGATCGATGACTCATTTTAAGATCGTGACCCCGTGATCAGTTTCTGATATCACTACTTGTAAGATTTTTATATGAAAAAATAAATATAAGCACAAAAGTATATAATAAAGCTTCTATGCTACAATTGCGAACTTGAGTTTATTGCTTGAAGTATTGCAGGTAAGACAATATTCCAACTTATCTTAGGAATACAACTTCGTTAATTCAGGATTATAAGAGAACTGATTCCCATTTTCGCAGTATCATGACCCATGTAATCCATAATTCCCATGTCTTCCATCACAGATAAGGCATAGTGAGCTCCACGGCTGAAGAGAAGCAAAATTATAATTATCGATCCCTCTAAAACTATTTCAGAATTTCAAGTATGGGAAGTGCTCTAAGACTGACTGGATAGTTGATTTTGGATCAGGTCTGGCTTCGAAAGTAATAAGCTTGAAATCAGAGGCTTAAAGTAGTCCCAGCTGAAGGCGTTCAGGGCAAGGGACTGGTTCTGCTGACATATCTATCACAGCTTCCGATAATTGCTATAGCTCATTTCCAGTTTGTTTTTTATATCTTTTGTATAATTTGGAACGAATCTTATCCGTCAAAACGCTTGGTAATCCA